CAGGAATGGCAGTCTGAAAGTCTGCCCTTAAGACTTTTACCCTTGAAAGTTGCAAATGGAAAAGGACTTTAAGCATGGCTGAAGCACACAAAAAGCTGTAGTCCCTTATTATGAGTTAAGATTCAATTATAATCAGATTTAATAAGGATAATATTCTGAGAACTAACAAAGTATTGAGCAAATAAAAATTTACAAAACAATTTTTTATGAAATTAAGCCACAAATAATCCTTTGATCTCTACAAACTTTTATAATACTGATAATGCTACTTGTTATAGTTTATTATTGGCCTTTGGCTATGGGGTTGTGATTTATCCTGAGCCACATAGATTTGAAGATACTCTTTAAGTGTTGAATAAAAAATAGCTTCTTACAGAGTGTTCTCTTGACAAATCCTTTCTGCAAAACATATTTTACTTTCTTGTAATAGCATGTGGACTGTGTTATCCTTGATGATGGTGGATTTCTTTTGATGTCAAATCGAGATGAATACACACAACAGGTATGTATATTTTTAAGTACAGCATATGAAACACAGTAGGGACAAGTTTTATGAGAAAAAATTAGCATTTCACTCTCAGCTAACCCTAAGAATATAATATTTATTTTATTTATGTATATCCTGCCCATCAGAGTTTGAAAGAACAGCGCAGAAATTGAAAAACATTTTTGAATCGCAAAGAATTTGCCATGTCAGAAATTCCACTTATTTTCTTAGTCTTTTTCGCAGTCTTATTTATGGTTCAGGATGACAGACATCTACCAAGTTGTGTTCTTTATGCTCTGCCCTTAGGCTGGGAGGCTGTCGATGGACTTACGATAGTGAGCGCAAGTAGTGTGGTATCCACGCACCTTCTTATATTCCTTTTGTTCTTCCCCAAGTAGGGTGGCCTCATTGATAGTACATTTAACAATTATTGTCTAACAGGAGTTCTTCAATCAAGCTTTTGCGAGAGAAATAGTCAAACAAAGAAATAAATACATAAGCAGCACAACTGGATGAGTTGTGTAGGGGAAATAATGGTGTTGCAGGGAATCAGAACTGTTCACTTTTTAGTGAGAAAAATACTTGGAAATACTTTAGCTTTTCTCTGTATATTCTCCCTCATCAGATTGGAAGATTCTTTGGTGAAATTGATCCTGGCTTGATGCGAAACCTGATTAACATGTCCCTGTATGCCTTTAACAAGTCGTATGACTATCAATCTGTCTGCGATCCTGAAGAAGAACCAAAGCAAGGAGCTGGACTTCGTTCTGCTTATGTGGTCCGTAGTCCCTTGTGAGGTGACTGACATTCCCTTAAAAGTGTGGAGGTGTTTATACGAATAATATAATCTCTGTTGTTTTTTTCCCAGCCTACGATAACAGATATTTTGCATCTAGGATGGTGGGCTTCGGCAGCTGCCTGGTAAGTGCACATTTCTCAGAAATCTCTATGTCCAAACTAGAATTATTCAGTAGACTGAGACCATAGTAGTCTCTCCCCCTCCACACTTCCCAGACTGCTCTGAACTCTTTATTTCTGCAGTTTTTCATGCAGAAAATTCTTAGCTATGTCTCCAAAATCCTAGGAAAATTCAATGTTCTTTCAAGAGTTCGACTCAATACTACTCTTGCTAGGTTTTTTAATTGTGTGTTCTGACTCTACAAAGTCAGCTTCATTACGCAGCATTGGGATTAATGGTCTGATTGGCAGATGTGAAGGTTCAGATGAAATTATTACATATGGAATTATTGATCACTTGGTTCCCTATTTCAGAATATCATCTTTCCCTTTTTCTAGCAAGGAGTTTTAAGAAAATAGTGTTATGTCTTCAGTGAATCATTTTACAAAAATAGATAAAGCTTATCTATTAGAAAATAGAAAGAACTCTTGCTTCAGACTGCAGGATAACCAATATGCTACCTGATACCATGATTCAGTTAAAGATTATCATGTTAATTATAGTAAATGCTTTGAAAATCATAGAATCATAGAATTGTTTAGGTTAAAAAGTACCTTTAAGATCATCAAGTCTAACCATTAACTCAAGACTGCCAAGGTCCTTCTCCTCCGGGCAGCTCTCCAGCCACTCATCCTCAAGCCTGTAGCATTGCATGGGGTTGTTGTGACCCAAGTGCAGGACTCGGCAGTTGGCCTTGTTGAACATCATACAGTTTGCCTCAGCCCATCAATCCAGCCTGGCCAGATTCCTCTGTAAAGCCTTACTACCCTCAAGAAGATCAACACTCCTGCCCAACTTGGTGGTGTCTGCAGACTTACTGAGGGTGCACTCTATCCCCTCATCCAGATGACTGATATTAAATAGAACTGGCCTATCTCTATTAATTAGAGATATTAAACAGAACTGGCCCCAGTAGTGAGCCCTGGGGAACACCACTTGTGACTAGCTTCTAACTGGATTTAATTCCGTTCACCACAACAATTCGGTCCTGACCATCCTGCCAGATTTTTCACCAGCAAAGAGTACACCTGTCCAGGCCTTGAGCAGCCAGTTTTTCCAATGCTGTGGGAAATGGTGCCAAAGGCTTTGCTAAATTATAAGTAGACAACATCCAACCTTTCCCTTATCCACGATTGGATCACCTTGTCATAGAAGAAGATCAAGTTAGTCAAGCAAGACCAGCCTTTCATAAACCCATGTTGACTGGGCCTGATTTTCTGGTTGTCCTGTATATGTCAAATGATGGCACTCAAGGTGGCGTGTCCCATAACCTTCCCTGGCACCAAGGTCAGACTGAATGTGAAATGGAGTGTGAAAAGCTCTATTGAACTATTTCAAGGAAGCAAGTATCTAAAAAGCATTTTGTGTAATTCTGTAGTCACATGTCCTAGCATTTTCTGTGGCTGAAGGGAAAAGTTGGTACATTTGCACTGTTGTGAAGTCTGGGGATTGACCTTGAGAGAGGCAGGTTTGCACCAGTAATTAGGTTTAACTTTCACAATCACAATATTGAATACGTTTTAAAATTAAAGATCCATTTAGGAGCTTTCTTTTCTTTTTACTTTGGTTTCTGTCTTATTAATAATAGCCACAGAAATAATTTTAGCTATTTCAGAGCCATATAGCTAGACACCCCTACTGGCTGCTTACCCCAGCACCAAGTGAGATAAGTAGTCAGGGCTGATATGATACTTTTGCATTCATGTGAATTGCACCCTTGGAGACTTTCTTTTTCTAAAGTTTCATGATGCTTATTTTTTATAATGATTATCAAGCTGGAATAAATTACCTACTTTATGAAGCTAAGAGTTAAAATATATAGCAGCTGAACGAACATATAGTATGTACAAACATCGTATGTAGGTCTTTATTGTTGATTACATTCTGTTAACGGCAACAACAAAAATCTTGTTTTCTTTGACCACAGCAAACCTCAAAAACTGGAGATGGGCAATAATCCAGAAGGGAAACTTGAGCTCTTCTGAAACAGAGAAACTCTAGTTTATCAGTGTTCAAATCAAACTCAGTGGTCTGGACTCAATTTAGACCTGAGGTTTATTTTGTGTGATGTTTAACTTGAAAGCACCACATGAAAGTACTTTCTGTGGGCATGTTTTTAATGGAATCTAGGTCAGAAGCAGGCAGAGAAGGCCATTAAACAGGCAGAGTGAAATGGGCTGATCAAAATGGATTCAGTGAGGCATCTGGCAAAAGCAAATGCAGAGAAATAAGAGAAATCAGGTTATTAAAGAGAACTCTAGTGTTTCAGGCAACAATGTAGGATAAAGGTGTGAGTGATAATTTTGAAAATCTATATGGGCTACATCAGCATTCAGTTAAGAGAGTATGTATCATTGGTCCGTCATGCTCTTTTAACTCAGAAGATTTTACAGCTTTCCCAGACTGCTTTTTTCACTCAGTTACCTATAAATTCTGTGTTAAGCCCTTACGAAGGATTACTGTTTTCTGTCAGCAAATTGCATCACTGTTGAATGGTATCAGGTCTCTTTTCATCTACAACGGCTGGTGCAATATTCATCTGACGATTCAAGGCACAAAGCTGTGGATGTGAATCCAGAGGTCCTTCAGGCGATATCTCCACTAGAAAGGTGACAGGCAGATTGAGTTTCATTACACATGGATCATGCTGGATAAGGAGAAAAGGAAAAAAACCTTAGAGGTTCAATAAAGTTACACAGTCTTCTCTCTTTGCTGAACAGTTGTTAGAACAGAATGAGATGAGGAGAGATCAGGTCATATTTGTATGTAGAAGCAAACCTAAAACATGACGAGAGGAAAATGCAACTTAAAAAAGTTTAAGCAGAAACAGGGAGTCAAGGAATGTAACTACTGCAATTCCTGTTATAACAGTTTGGTAGAGGAGAAGGGGATAATGTGTGTGGCAAAACAGTGCTTGCTTCAAGTAAATAGGAAAAATGTGATTGTGAGTGAAGAAAAATAATTTGAAATAAATTGAGTTCTTTAAGGCTGTTTTGGCAGCATCTAGATGGAAAATATATTCCATAACTCAAGAGCAGGAATAGAAATTAATTTAAAAGCCAACAACTACTGTAACCACTTTTATAATACACTTGTAATATTCTAGTGTTCATCTCCTTCTCAGCAATTTAATGAGCCTTAATCAATGTAAAGTATCTAATTCAGGACCATTTTCCCTGAGAGTGTTCAAAAGGAGTTGTAGTTGGTTTAAGTGTTAGAGGAACACCAACATGCCTCTTCCACCTCCCACAGAGGTATAAGAGGGGGACATGGATGGCATGCTAACGTTTCCATTATGTGAGTTATGGGCACAAATGATAGCAAATTTCAACAGTAGAATAAAAGATCAGTGTGAAAGAAGATGCGGGAGAAAGTGTGGAAAGAAAACCAGAGTCAAACTAATGTTTACAGAGTCGTAGCTTTAATAACTGACAAAAGCATATTTAGCCCTGAGGATTCTATTAATTACTCTTATTTAAGTAGGTTTTAAGGACTGAGTAAAATAGAAAGAAGACAAAAAGCCTTTTACAAATATATATTGTCTTTCTGTGTTCAGGTCTATCTTACAGCAGCTGTTTTTGAGCTTGACTTTTCCACGTTTCCTTGAGGCAGGTAAGTCAAGAGAATGTTAAAGAGTCAACTTTGAGTGAAGTAGAAGGTAAGAATCTAGGCTGGAGGCCATATTTGGATCTCCTCATTGAGTCTGTGATTTTAAAATGTCATTGTTTATTTATTTATTTTCTTCTTTCTGTCAGCTGATATGGAAGATGATGATTTCGGTGCTGCCCTGCCTAAAACAAGCTGTATCACTGAGCAAACTCAGTATTTCTTTGAAAATGATGATAAATCTTTTGGGGGGATTGTAGACTGTATAAACTGCTCCAGGTAAATTTTCTTCAAAATGAATAATAACTTTGGTTATATTTATATTTATAAATCTATATTTATAGATATTTGGGTTATATA